GGAAACTGCAATGCAGAAGCAGAAACTGCAATGCAGAAACAGAAACTGCAATACAAAAATAGACACTGAAATGCTGAGCCTGGGCAAAAATGCTCAACTCTAAAGTTAAACAAAACAAAACAATAGTTTTTTTTATTCAAAACATGTTGGGAGAGAGGGAATCGGACTGAAAACCACCTAGAATGTAAAATAGGTTATTCATGTTTCTGTTTTTTGCATTGCACATTCCGTTTTCTGTAGTGCAGTTTCTGTTTTCTGCAACGCAGTTTTTATAAGAAACACAAATTTAAGTTACAAACTTTCATTAAAACAAAGAAAGAAAATTACAAGAAAGAGAATTGTATTTACAATTGTCCAACAAAAGAATATATTACTTCAACTCATAGCTCCCCCTCTGATCAAGATGAATAATGAATCAAACTAAGAAAAATATCTCTATAATACTTTGTCTAAGACGTCTAATAAAGGCTAAAAATCTAGTCTGAGAGTAAAAATCTTTGTCTAAGGCATCTCAAACAATCCTCATAAAATCATTATCATACACCAATTGCAATTGCACCAATAAGAGCAACCAATTGCACCAGTAATAGTACAGCAAAAAGCAAAAAGTTTCACTATCTAGCATGTACCCAATCATCCATATATACAAGGGGAGAATGGAGATGATGTGGCTCATAGAATCAAAGCACGATAGGTAAAATGGAGGGTTTTGTTAAGCACATATATAGCGTGATCATCTTATTTTGCTAGAATTGAAAGCTAAGTTTATAGAACATCTATTAGACCAGCCATGCTATATGGGACTGAATGCTGGACAGTTAGAAAACAGACATATTCATAGTTCCTGTAGGCACATATTAGCCAAATGTTACAACCAGCACCGTGATATGCACACCTCTATCTCTGTTTCTCTAATGGAATATTAGCCATTATTAGACACAAATTCTTAAGAGATTAGATTAAAATATTTATCACCTTTTGAATCCTTCAAAATTGGAGATGTTTGCTGAATAATCTTTGCTAGGCTTTGCATTTTGACACTCCCGCCACATCTAGGAGGGTTCACAGTTCTTGAAGGCATAATGCTAGGATTTGCTTTGATCGCAGACATAGGAAACTTTGGAGTCACAATTCTAGACCCAAAAGGAGTCCTTTTGGGGATAGGTGCCATGAAATTTAACTGACGAGGTTTGGAGCCGAAAGTACTTCGCTGAGATCTAACTCCTGATGATAGCCTGATGACTTCTTCATTTGGAATAAATTTAACTTTTCCAGTCTCAACAGGTTTTTGCCTTCTGGAATGAGCTTGCCACCCTGAATCATCAAGAACTCTGCTGGGACCGGCTGGATGCATGGCATCATGGTGAACTAAATCAGCAGAGGATGCCATTATGTCTTCTTCCTCATCAGGTTTTGGAGAAATCACTTCACATGATTCACAAACCCAATCATCTGGAAATTCCATTGGAATAATCCGCATGCAATAACTGAAACGGAGATATCACAATAAATTACGATAACTGAACTCACCCCTCCAGAGCAGCTATATTTTTTGGAAATGTCTAACTGAACTGACGAAAATAATTCAGCAACTGAACAGGGGAAGAAACTAGAGATCAAACCAACAAACTTGTGGTTCAAAATACCATGCATGGAAGGGCATACAATGGTGATGAGAGTAATTTAAAATACTTAGGAAGCTAGCAAGAAACGTCTTCTAGAAGGATCTTTTGTGGGATAAGTTCATTTTTGACCAACTTTGTGAAATTTGGTTTTTCTACTGAATTTTGTCAAATAATATTTTTCTTTATCAGTTTATCCGTGCATATTGGAAGGCTAGCTGGTGAATTACGTTTGTAATTAGAACTGATTGTTCACCTTCATTGTATTTTGATTTTGATTCACTGATATTATTGAGACGAAATACTATTCAGTTCTTAATTGAAACAGGCAAACAAAGTAATCAAATGCAGAGAGAGGGAGAGAGAGAGAGAGTCATACGGGTGTTCAGTACTTATATTGCATTTAATGCAAGTTGCAACGAGATTTTCATTAGTAATACCACCACACACATCACATTGTCCGACCTGAAAAGTAGAGCAGATCACATTGAAAAGATTAAAATAACTCAGCTAACTGAAGCTTAACTTAAGCAAAAGTTTCTTAGTGTCGGTCTAGCATTATTTATCAATTAGTAGAAGTACATATAGGACATGGAGATGTCATCTTTGGTGAACAACACAGTACATGAAAAAGTGGAAATGAAGTTTGATGAAAAATATTATGGCAGCCATGGTGGAACTATGAGGAATATGACTGAATGGTTCTTCTATAGTACTCTGCATGCATATCCACATTTTTCACAACTTCTGTAGTAGTTTATTATTCATCTAGTCAGTCCTTAAATAATCTCACTACGAGCCAGACTTGCAAAAAAGCTAAAGGCATGCTAATGGATACAAACTGGGATGGCAATCAAGTTGTATAATATGTTGTATTTAAATACACAAAACTTCTCTCCTACAGTCCTTGAGGCATTTAAACAAGGCCATGTTTCTCAGTTGTTCAATCAAGCTCTCTCTCTCTCTCTCTCTCTCTCTCTCTCTCTCTCTCTCTCTCTCTATATATATATATATATATATGTATACATGCATATATATGTATACATGCATATGGAGTGTTATGCTTTAATTGCTTAATTGTGGTGTTTCTATATGGGAATTTGAGTGGTGCTGATATAGGATTTTGAGTGTTTGACAAAATATGATTTTCGTTAATAGTGTTTTGGGCTTTGCGAAAGGGAGTGAATTTTCTCTTTCTAACTAACGAGGTATTGGAGTTTTTGGTGGGTTTTGTTTAGTGTTGCTAATGGTTGAGGTATGCTATAGTCTTTTGTTATTTTCAATTCGTATCATGTAGGTTTCTGTTGAGTATTGATATAGTAATTCTTAATATGCTTTCATATATGTTTTATGCTGAAATTCTTTATATGAAGTGTATGAATTTTGAATTCAAATTTGTTGCATTTGCCTTATCAAAACCTAATATGGATGCAAATAGGTCATGTTGTGATTGATTTTGTTATATATGTTTGTGAGTATTGTTTGTTGTGGGTTCCAAATTTTGAAAGTGCTATGATTTTGTTATATATATGTGTTTGTTTGGTTTTTGGAAATTTTGAGTTGGCTGCCTTGATTTAGTTTGATTGTTTTGGTTTTCTTTTGGTATGCAAGCATACTTGAAAATCTGTAACCTTTTTAGAAGCCTCCAACTCAGTCTCTGCCACAGTGTACCTGGATACTGCGCATAAACCCATAAATAAGCATATATCGTGTAGATGACTACAAAGTCAGAGCCTTTTCTTATTTTTGTGGCATCAGATCAGCCTGTGAATGTTGTAGCACTAGAATATCAGATAATTCAATTCAATTGGAAGATTCTATCAGCCTTAAACATTAGTCTTGTGCTTATTTTTGTATTTTAATATAATTGAAAATCTGGAATTTGTGGGAATTTTTTTATTTTTTTGCTTGCTAAAACCCCTTACTGTGGTTAAGGCTGTCAGGTAGGCTATGTGTTGGGTCATTCAGGCTGAGTGTGTGGCTATAGTTGCAAGAGCCATATTTTTTTGGTGGAAGAAAGAAGCGTAGGGTTCTAGGAAGAGTAGAAGGATATTTGAGAATGTAAAGGGTGAGGAGATGGATTATCTGTGGTAGATGGTTTGCTTTCGGGCATCTCCATGGACTTCTATCTCTTCAAATTTTTGGGAAAATCTTTCTCTGCTATATTTTCATTTTGGATGGTTCTTAGCTCCAATATCTTGTCCTTTTTTTGTAATATTTATTTCTCTTCTCCATTCAGGCTGAGTGTGTGGCTATAGTTGCAAGAGCCATATTTTTTTGGTGGAAGAAAGAAGGGTAGGGTTCTAGGAAGAGTAGAATGATATTTGAGAATGTCAAGGGTGAGGAGATAGATTATCTGTGGTAGATGGTTCGCTTTCGGGCATCTCCATGGACTTCTATCTCTTCAAATTTTTGG